GGAGTAAAGAATAGCTAGTGAAAGAAATTGGATAAATTATACTGACCAAATAAGATTTTGTCCAAAAATCTCACCTTCCTGCACTCGGATCAAACCCAATCACATAGTATGACATGAAAACAAACCCACCGACCTCAATAAAGGACATTGGGATCTTGAGGATCCATGAGGGTATGGTGTAGGTCCATGCTGGAAAGAATAAGAGGTCTCTCTGCTTGAAGAAGACTGGCAACTTAAAAATGGTTAGCGGTAGCTCAGATAGACCATTGAACATTATCATCATCACTGAGAAGAAGAGTGCGCCCATGAAGATGACTCCATCAGTCACGGAATCACGGTGCATCTTTGTACGGAAGAAGACGGTCATTGCAATTGCCGACACCACCATCAGCTGCCATAGCAATTCAACAAGAAGTCAGTCGTATGATGTTGTTTGTTTTCTCAAATATACTAATACTCCATTTGTTTGAATGGATCCCTAACAACCTGGCAGGCTCTGAAGATATAAACGAAGGAATTTCTCTTCATAAGCAAGAACTCCCGGTCGATGTTTGCCTTCAACAGTTCCATGGCACTGACACCGTACCTCGAGGTGGTCAATGCAGCCGGATGATTTTTGCTCTTGTCGAATGGAGTAGCAAGTTCGTTTGCTATACTTTTCCCAGTGTGGAACGACTGGAATGCACTAGCAAAATCCTTGACTGGCACGTACCGATAGGGCTTGTCATGCTGCATCCAGTACTGCTTCTGGTCTTTCCTGGAAGTTACCTGTTCGGTATTTCCATGTTGATAAATAACCGATAAATTTGTGCATATACATTTTTGAAGATAGTAGACTCACTCACTTCCTGTAAGAAGTCCGCAACACCCTTCCTCTCAGGGCATTTGAACCCCATCAACTCAAAAAATTCTAGCACACCCTCTCGAGGCCCCTGGTATACAATCTGACCATCAGAGAGGAGTATGATGTCGTCAAATAGGTCATATGTCTCTGGAGCTGGCTGCAACAGCGAGATGACTGCTGTGCCACCGAGGATGTGGATGGCCTGTCTGAGCGACTTCACGATCTGAAATGTAGTTGAGCTGTCGAGCCCAGTCGATATCTCATCCATGAAAAGTGCATTGGCTGGCCCAACAAGCATCTCACCTGGAAGAAACAGTCAATCAAAACATTGTCCAGCAAATCCCATGTTCTGAAAGTGAAATTCTATTTTTCAACCTGTGGTGACACGCTTCCGTTGTCCACCGGAGATACCCCTCACCATATCATCTCCTACCATCGTGTCTGCACATATATCCAGTCCTAATATCTGCAACATGTTACATATGTAAAGTAGTAAATAAAACGAATTTGCTTAATCCAATCTGAAGTAAGTACTTCCTCCGTTTCATATTATAAGACTTTCTAGCATTGCCCACATTCATATATATGTTAATGAATCTAGGCACATAGGTTATAAGATTTTCTAGCATCGCCCACATTCATATATATGTTAATGAATCTAGACATATATATGTGCCTAGATTCATTAACATCTTTATGAATGTGGGCAATGCTAGAAAGTCTCATAACCTGAAACGGAGGTAGTAGCTATTGTAGCTCAGAGATGCATGTACCTTCAGTATATAGTCAGTAATCAAATTGGTCTCTTGTCCCTCCATCGCTGAAGCCTGATCAAGTTAGGACAGAAAATTTATAGCAAAACTTCACTCATACCTCGTATGAAAATCATATCTACAGACACCAGAATAATTCTGATTTATATAGGATTTGCAATTTTTACCTTCATAAACGCATCAATATCAGCATCAGGCTTAATATTTGCTGCCTTCTCTCGCCTTGACAGCTCGGTCAGCATATCTAATGACATAACAAGAGAACTCTATAAGTATCAGTCAACCCATGACGATTTTCTCAAAAGGCGAATTCTGCAGAAAAGAATGCATGCACTTGTGGTTGTTCCTTGCACATAGTCATACCAAAGCGGCTTCCAACACCCTGGCAGCGTGCCGAGAATGAGAGTGTCTCCCGAACAGTCATTTCCCCAATATGAAGATCATGCTGGCTGATGTATGCAGCTGTCCTCTGTGGCACAAAATCCTCCATCTGGTGTCCATTGTAAGTCACTTGACCAGAGAACTGCAAATTAGTTTTCCCCCCATTATGCATTGTGTATGTCAGTTATCAGTAATATCACTCAAGAGCAAGGTATACAGTTTTTGGGACATGTCACCTAAGAAAAGTTATCTGTTCATGCGAACTTTGTTTGTTTCTACCAACTTAATGCAATGATGCGTAAGCCTTTATGCATTAATTCTCTAAAAGTATGTTCTCTGTATTTTCGCTAATCGTATACAATATATTAAAGATGAAGTACACACATCTGTGGGAATATGGACTGGTTTGCCAAACGCCCAAACGCATCGTTATATCGCAGTTATTGCAAAATAAGTAAATAAAATTTGTTTGAAACCTTGATGTCTTTGCCAAGCCTTCCAGCCAAAGCAAGTAGCAAGGTGGTCTTGCCAGACCCGGGAGGTCCTAACAGCAGAGTCATCCTGCATAATCAAAAGAACGTGTTATAGGAGAAGCATAGAAGTTAAATTCCAAATGATCTTGGTTAATCTAGGCTCCAACAAAGACAAATCAACTTTACAGTTTACAGGGACATGTCTAATTGAAAAGCATTTCGTTTCCTGGGAACCGGCATCCCGTACAAAAATATCTTCAAGCAAATATCTTACAATGCTTCAAAAAATCGCAAATAAACCATGAGAGCAGCACACACGTAACGTTATATAAAGCATAAGCAATTTTGAAAACGTGATGCTTCTTTTTCTTTCTTTCACCTGCGGGGCTTGACGATGCCGCTGACGTCGTGGAGGATGGGCATGGTCTGCTTCTTGTTGGGTAGAATCCCCAGCGCGTTCGCGGCTCCCTCGAGCTTGTTGGTCATGGAGTTGAGGACGGTGGGGAGGCCGCTGTTGCCGACGCGGACCTCCGCCTCCGCCTCCAGGTGCTCGAACCGCACCTCGATCGTCGGAATATCAATCCCCACCCTGCACATCAAAATTACCACGCGCAAATCATCAAACACCCTGCAGGCAACCGCGTCCGCCGCCACGGCGACATCGTGACGCAGTGTGGTACAGCACAGTACGCACCGGTCGATGCGCTCCTTGAGCTTGAGAAGGAAGCGCTCGTTGTCGTCCTCGGCGACGCGCACGAGCCGCTCGAGCAGCGCCCGCCGCTCCTGCGGGCCGAGGCTGAGCACGTCCACCACCTTCTTCCCCGCCTCCCCTCCGCCGCCGCCCTCCTCCACCACCGGCAGTACGGCGCGGCGCACGCGGTCGTACGTGGGCAGCTTCTCGAGCGCCGCCCACCGCAGCGCCTCCTCGTCGTCCTCCCCATCCTCCCCACTCGACGACGCCCTCGACCGCGAGAACACCCCGTTGTCCGCGCTCCACCACATCGACGCCGCCCCCCGCGACGACGACCCCCCTCCCCCTCTCCTCAGGCTCACCACCTTCTGCATCTCCGCCGCCGCATCCATCTCCCTAGTCGATTCCGATTCCGCCGCCGCGGCGTGCCACCTCCTACCACTACGTACTCCTCGCCTCGCTTGCGCTGGTTTTGGGATGGGAGGGAAGCCTTGGAGACGACGACGCCGAGGCGAAGGGGGGTTTATGTAGCGGGGCGCGGGAATGGAATCCGTTCCGTTGGAACGGAACGGAATGGAACGGGTTGGGTCGGGGGGAGTCACAAGCCGCGGGCTCGTGATGGGCCGTGTGGGAGGCTCGCTTCGGCGACACGGGGATAAACTAGGGTGGGTTTCCGCTTGTGTATGACCTCACGAGGGGTTTGGTTAGTTCTTAGTTTTATAAGCTTTTGATTAGATTCATCCCCTTCTAGATGCTAATTGCGTCTTACTTCTAGATGATGGCGATGGAAATCATAGGACCCTCGAATGAGAAACCAACTGGTCAGGTTTTTTTAAAGAGTAATAAAGGAGATGGTATTAGAGGAGTTGGTTTGTTAGTTGCATGTGTAAAGCGAAGGCGGCTGGGGTGAGACTGACAGGTGGGGTCTGAATGAGCTTTCATCAGTTCATGTATTTATTTTTTAGAACTAATGGCTTTCATGTACAGTGCCGATTCTAGAAGGTCTCTGGGTGTTTGATGCACTGTTTTTCTCATGTTAATTTATTTGGTCGTGTACCAGGGTTGCTGTTACATTCCTTGACACGTGTGGAATGTGTTGACCTGCTTCGAAAATTTAATTCATTTTTAGGGTCAAATTTTCGGAGGGAGTATTCATATTGAATCACACGCTGGTTCGCACTACAGTATACCAAACCATCCAATAGGCAAAAGCAAAACCTCAGCAAGTAATTCACGGTGCCGAGCAAAATCAGAAATCAAGTCTGCTCCTCGAATTTATGGGATCCAGATCGTATATGAATGACTACTGCGGCTGGAGCCTGGAGGTAGGTTTGATGAGATTTGAAAATAGCCTACAAAGTTAAAAGGCAGATTAGCCCAGCATATTAAATCATTATATTTGGGCCTGTTTGTTTTTGTGGGATAATTATTAGCCCTAACCTTTTAGCCATAAATTAGTCCTTAAGAATCCAAACAAGTAAGCTAATTTGGGACTTAAGTGAATTAGCCCCCCTCAAAAACATTAGCCCCTCTCTCTCTACTCTCTCTCTATCTTTTAGCCCTCAATTAGCCCATAAATCCAAACATATCACTCTAGGATCATTAAATCATTATATTTGGGCACTGTTTGTTTTCATGAGGCTAATCTTCTAAACAGGGTCCAAAACCCACGACGTTAAATACGATTTTAGGTGCCGCAAAAGAAAAAACGATTTTAGGATCATCTAATCGGCGGCCGAATTTCTCCGGTTACGTGTGAGCTCTGTGAGCTTAAATGCTTACGGATGTATATATACAGGCTATGTATCACTATTTCACAATTTTGTAGGGCAGAGTTGTTGAGGAAAACTGGGCAATACAATTAACAAAAATAGTAGTGACGAACAGCAGAACTGTTCTTCATTTACATCGAGCAAAATGTGAGTTCAGTCAACTGAACACTAGACAACCCCATATAAAAATTAAAAATAAAAGTAGTACCATCTTTCTATAAAAAGAAGGGTACTAATAACAAAATTACTAGGTGTAACAGTAGTACAATCTTTCTATAAAAATAAGGGGGAAAGGCTGGTATGATTTACAATATTCTAATGGCAACAAAAAAAAATTCTTTAGATCCAATGATATGCACAAATTTCAGGTAGCGTTTGCAACTCAATGAATGTAATATCCCTTGTCATCATCATCTCTTCTGGAAGTTGAACTTCATGATAGCGAAGCCAAACAAGGAAGCGAAGAGGAAAGCGAAGGCAGCGACCACGGTGGCCACCCAGCCCAACCAGCTGTGCTTGAAGCCGAAGTAGTTCTCCACAAACACCTTCACAGGGGTGCCGTCTTCCATCGGCGTCTCGATGTCACCGAACTGGGAGACGACGAGGCCGTACAGCGTCCACGCGACGGGGCACGCCCAGCAATACCATCTCCACCAGATTGGGACTCTCTGAAACATCATCAGGCACAAACAGAGATGAGCACCCAATGGAGTTGGAAGTGTATGGAAGAATGAGGGGCAATTGGGAATGCGAAACTTACAGGTCGGGGGATGACGAAGCCGGAGAAGAGATTCCAGATGGCGTAGAACGCCGATGAGACGATCGAGGCAATGTGGTAGTTCGGTGTCAGGCCGACCGCCATCATGCCGTAGAATGTGAAGTAGAGGAGCGTGAAGACCATGAAGAAGAGGTACCAGAAGAACTTGGCAGCCGTCCACTCGAACCCAATCATCGCATACACTATGATCCCGTATACAGTAGCCTGAACCAGTGTGTATGGGATCTCAATGACAACCTGAAAGAGGAATTAATCAGTATCTGGATCTCAAGGATGCAACAACCAGGACTCAATGTCAGTTGCAGGAGGACCATTCACCTGGCCAAATGCATATGGAAACGCCGAGTACATGCCGGCAGCCCTTTCACGGTAAAAGACTGTCCGCTCCACGGCCACCACTGGCTGAACAGATGTACAGTTCATGACACCGATGAACAGCACTGCTGCATACATTGACCCCATGGCATTGAACAAGTCTTGTGACTTCGTCCTGGATTAAGAAGCACGAAATGAATAAGATTTCTAAGGTACACCCTCTTTGCATATAGAAAGTGGCATTTTACTTACACTTTGCCGCCAAGGTCCCAGAAGATGGTACCAAAGAGAAGAGCAATGACAGTAGTGAAAAAGAACCTAACGGCATTGTAAGGAGGGTTCCTCCAGTATGACAGGTTTTGCTTCCACAGGCAAGCCATGCATTGTGTTAAAGAAGACTGAGAATATTGGGTAGGGAAATACAGGTCACTTGAATCGGGGGCTGGTTGGCTCAGGTCCTTTATCAAGGCCTTGTTCCTCCTGAATAAGGTAGCAATCAGTGTTACATGGCATATTGCAAAAAAAAATTGCTTTGCAGAAAGATGAAACAACAATTAGGATTAAAAGCAAGTTACTCACTGGTAAAGTTCAGACTTCTTGTATATATCACTAAAATCAACACCAAGTGCCTGCTCTTGACCAATTGTTGTCACCTCCAACATCCATGTTGCTGGGTTATAGCCATCTTTGATTTTGCTGACCCCTGGGATACTCTGGATGATACACAAAGATGCGATTGAATCAGTAATTTTGAAGAAATGTCATTGAGGTATATTAGAATTAGTGTAATATCACTTACCTCAAAATACTTGATCAGCTCCGAAGAATGATGGCCTAGTGGACCAGCATAGATCTCTTCACCACCTCGCTTCATCAGGAAAAGCTGCAAGCAAAAAATATATTAGTCAAATCATCCAGGTAGTTTAGAAACACAGCCATAATCAATTGATTTTTGGGCTTTCCGCAATGTATCCTAATATCTGAGGAGAAAATGGTACGAATCTCCAAAGTAGAATCACACTCACCTCATCAAATGCTTCAAATATGTCAATGCTAGGCTGATGAATTGTGCACACCACAGTTCTGCCAGTATTAACAGTGTTCCTCACTGTCCTCATCACAATTGCAGCTGCTCGTGCATCAAGCCCTGAGGTTGGCTCGTCCATGAATATAATCGAAGGGTTTGCAACAAGCTCCACTGCGATTGTTAGCCTCTTTCTTTGTTCAGTGGACAGACCATTCACTCCAGGAAGCCCAACCAAAGCATCTCTCAGTGACTTGAGCTCCACAAGCTCCATCACCTCCTCAATGAACATCTGCATACACAAAGGTAAGCTACTATCTATCTATATCAAGTATAGGTAGGAATAGCAAAAAAAAATGTTTGACGGACCTTTCTAGTGTTGGAATCTACATCCTCAGGAAGACGGAGCCATGCTGAGAAAAGTAGCGACTCATAGACTGTGACCTGCGGTGAGTGGATATCGTTCTGCTCACAGTATCCAGACACACGTGCAAAAGTCTCTTGTTTCTTTGGATATCCTGAAATGTTGATGCTTCCTTCAATGTACCCACCTGTCTTTCTCCCAGCCAATACATCCATCAGTGTTGTCTTGCCAGCACCACTGACACCCATTAGTGCAGTCAACACCCCTGGCCTGAATGAACCACTAACACCTTTGAGGAGCTCCAACCGGTCATCAGCTACACCTTGTGCTTTCATTTCCTGAAATTAATTTCACGCTGAAAGTTAGAAAAATGCAAACTAATGATCAATTCCTGATTTGGTAGGAGTTCTTCCATATTTTACCTGTGGCATGTCAACAGAATATCTGACATTGTCAAAGCTGAGTGAAAGCGGAGTAAATGGGAGAACCATCCCCCTTTGAGTAACCTCAGTATCATCATCAACAATTGTTGAATCATTTTCAGTGCCGTTTCCCATTGGCCTACGCGTACTTCCAGATGACAAGTGAACGTCACCCACAATCTCACCATTCAGATTGGCACGCTTCTCTTTCAGTTCCTCTTCTGATACTGACTGACGGGAATTTCCATATGCTGTAAATCACAAGATGAAATCATTCTCATGTTTGGATATAGCCAACTCTAGGAAAAAGAGCAAATCAGTTCTCAAGGTATACTCACGCCTGAGGTATGTAAGGGCAAGGGTGAAGAGAGCATTGAAAAGGATGGTGAAGCCGATCATTGCACCAAACCCAATCCAATACCACCTGGCTTCAGGGAATACTCCACGGGACTTGAGGACTTGCACACCAAGGGTCTCATTGGAGGCAGAGCTATTCACAATTTTGTTCCAGCTGTGCCCCATGAGTTCATTAACTGAGATGGCATTCTGGGCGTACATCATCGGGGATATCCAGTAGCCCCAAATCCACCATTTCTTCACTTGCTCTGCAAGTCGAACAGAATGGAACACTTAGCTTTTGATAAAAAGTGCAAACCAAGCACTTCTCAGACAGATAATGGTGAGCATTTACCTCTTGCTAGAATGAATCCACCCAATACCATAAAAATTAGCAGCATGAATGATGCAAAGACATTTGCAACAATCATGTTCCTCGCTGCCCCACCAATGAATCGGAAAAGTGATCCCGCCATCTGATTGATTGCTAACATGAGCAAATACTGCTTGAAGAAGCTGGGGTAAACAAAAAAAAGACAAATACTCTCAGAACAATGCAGAGCAGCACTATAGTAAGATATAGCTGATTATACACCTGTGAAATATATAATCTCAATAAATCTCACCTGCCCACGTTTGAGTCAAACCCAATGACGTAGTATGTTAAGAACACATACCCACCAACCTCAATAAACGTGATTGGGATCTTGAGAATCCATGAGGGTATAGTGTACGACCATGCAGGATAAAAAAGGAGATCCCTCTGCTTGAAGAAAACAGGCAACTTAAAGACAGTGAGCGCAAGCTCTGAGAAACCATTGAACATGATCATAAGCACACCAAAGAAGAGTGCGCCCATGTAGATGCCCCCGCTGGTCACAGAATCACGTTTCATTTTCGTACGGAAGAAGAGTGTCATTGCAATGAGTGACACCACCATCAACTGTAATGACATAACACCATGGAGTCAGTCATGCTGCTATTGCTTTACTTACATAGCAACCACCCCTTTGGTTTGAAGTAATGACAGTTACCTGGAAGGTTCTGAACATGTAGACGAAAGAGTTCCTCTTCATGAGGAGAATCTCCCTGTCAATATTTGCCTTCAGCAGCTCCTTGCCAGGAGCACCGTACCTTGTGGTAGCCAGTGCGGCAGGATGGCTCTTACTCTTATCAAACGGAACAGCAAGTTCGTTTGCTATAGCTCTCCCTGTGTGGAACGACTGGAATGCACTCACAAATTCCTTAACCGTCACAAACCTGTAGGGCTTGTCATGCCTCGCCCAGTACTGCCTTTGATCTTTCTTAGAAGTCACCTGCTCGGCATTTGCACAGACATATATTATCAAAAACTGTACTTTATGTGTTCATAGAAAAAAGAACAGTGAGATATGAACATACTTCTTGCAAGAAGTCGGCAACACCCTTCCTGTCAGGACACTTAAACCCCATGGACTCGAAGAATTCAAGCACATCCTCTCGGGGGCCCTGGTACACAATCTGACCGTCTGAGAGGAGGATGATATCATCAAACAAGTTGTAAGTCTCAGGCGCCGGCTGCAGCAGGGAGATAACAGCTGTGCCACCGAGGATGTGGACAGTTTGCCTAAGCGAATTCACTATCTGGAATGTAGTGGAGCTGTCAAGCCCAGTTGAGATCTCGTCCATGAAGAGCGCCCTGGCTGGCCCAACCAGCATCTCACCTACAGAACGCATCAAAATAGGAATAATCACACCGTGGTTCATTCATAGCCGTTAGTCTCAATCTGAATTTGTGTTGGAGTTCAATCCTCACCAGTCGTAACACGCTTTCTTTGCCCACCTGAGATGCCCCTCAGCATCTCGTCCCCAACCATCGTGTCAGCGCATATCTCTAGTCCTAATATCTGCAACAAGTAACGTCCAATGCATTGAACAAGAAATTCTTGGGTAATTCTACCTAAAATTTAATCACTAGCTCAAAGATGGATGCACCTTCAGTATATAGTCAGTGTTCACGTTTGCCTCCTGTCCTCCCATTGCAGCCGCCTGAACAAGTTGACCAGAAAACCAATGCTTAGTCCTCGTTTCAAAAAGAAAAATTAACAAAAGTAAGAGGACACCAAAATCTTGTTGATTTTATTTCGGATTCGTAAATCCTTTTACCTTCATGAATGCATCGATATCGGCGTCAGGCTTAATGTTCGCTGCCTTCTCTCGCCTTGACAGCTCAGTCAACATATCTGAAAAAAAAAACAACAGGAAAAAGGAAAACTTGGTTTAGCATGCCCGTCCAACCATGCAATCCCGCATAATCCGCAAGCAGTAAAAAAGGCAACTACTACTGCTGAGAATCGTGTAGAATTTACCAAAGCGACTGCCAACACCCTGGCATCGTGCCGAGAAGGCAAGTGTCTCCCTGACGGTCATCTCTCCGATGTGGAGGTCGTGCTGGCTGATGTAAGCCGCCGTCCTCTCCGGCACGAATTCCTCCATGCCGTGCCCGTTGTAGGTCACTTTTCCTGAAGCCTGCAATTGCATCTCGTTATACTCATCAACAACGTGTGAACGCCCAGTATAATTCGTACTCCAGTATCCATCTCTTATTTTCTTTTTCCCAAATAAAGAACTCCCCGTACTACTCTGTGTTTTCTTCTTTGGCTAACTCATTCTTCGTATTAGTACGTACTGGAGCAGTACTACTAGTAGAGATGAGAAGCTGAAACACTGCGCCTATAGTGGGATACAGGCATCTGGAATTGAATTATTTGCAAGAAGTTGGTTTTGGATGAACGAACCTTGAGATCTTTGCCGAGCCTTCCGGCCAACGCGAGCAGCAAGGTGGTCTTGCCTGACCCCGGTGGGCCTAACAGCAGAGTCATCCTGTAGAAACGAAAAGAACGTGAGGTGGGAAGAAGGCGAAGAAATTGAATTCTAAAAAAAAAGACCCGGATTTAACTAATCCAGTCTCCAACACGAGAGATAAAAATTGCTCCAGAAGACAAGAGAATCCATGTTCTTTTTTTTTTTGGTGAAAACAACATGTGGGTGTGGGAGTGTGTTGGGGGGGGGGGGGGGATGGTGTTTCACCTGCGGGGCTTGATGATGCCGCTGACGTCGTGGAGGACGGGCATGGTCTGCTTCCGGTTGGGCAGAATGCCGAGCGCGTTGCCGGCTTCCTCGAGGGTGTTGGTGATGGAGTTGAGGACGGTGGGGAGGCCGCTGTTGCCGACGCGGACCTCCGCCTCCGCCTCCAGGTGCTCGAACCGCACCTCGATCGTCGGCATGTCGATCCCCACCCTGTCGCACAGCGCAAGCGCGAAAGTCGTTAGATCAAACACCTAGCGGGCGCAAAGCAGAGAAACGCGGCCATGCGAAGACGAGAACTGGCGGCAACGCACGCACCGGTCGACGCGGTCCTTGAGCTTGAGGAGGAACTTCTCGTTGTCCTCGTCGGCGACGCGCACGAGGCGCTCGAGGAGCGCGCGGCGCTCGCGCGGGCCGAGCCCGTGCACGTCCACGACGCCCTTCCCTCCTCCGTCCCCGGCGCCGTCGTCGCCACCGAGCGGCAGGATGGCGCGGCGCACGCGGTCGTAGGTGGGCAGCTTCTCGAGCGCCGCCCACCGCAGCGCCTCCTCGTCGTCCTCCTCCCTCGACGACCTCGAGAACACGTCGTCCCCTCTCCTCCACATCGACCCGCTGTCCCCCCTCATGCTCCCCCCTAGCCGCATGCTCGCCACCTTCTGGATCTCCCCCGCCGCGTCCATCTCCCACCACCACCAAAACCTCCTCGCCGAGAGCTATCAATTCTAATCCCTCTCCGTTGTGCGCTTCTCGAGGTGGGTGATTGTTGTGATTCCGATTCCTCGCAGTCTGCGCGCTGCGCTGCGCGGCGCGGCACCGGGATTTCTTCCGGGCTTTTGCAAGTGAAGGCGCGGCGCGGCGCGGGGTGTGGTGTGTTTGGTCCCGAGTGGGGCTGTGGGGGTTTTTGTAGGGGGTGGGAAACCGTTGGGAACTTGGGGTGGGTGGGGAGGCGGCGCGCTGTGTTGCTGTGGTCTGTTTGTGCGAGTGCAGGAGGTGGGGGACGCGGGTCAGAGTAGCGAGGCGCGGAGGCGGGATGTGTGGAAGACTAGCCTGCTGGTGCTCGGTTCGGTACAAGTACGAATCGAGCACCGTACACGGGCAACATGTGTGTGTTTGTGCATGCAGCCGTGGCTACCAAGCATGTGTGGGGTTTCTAGAAGGGCGAGGTCAAGCGGCCAGCGGCGTGTCTGTCATCGTATCCCTGGGATTGGGGTTGGTACTCCTGTCCTGTGCTGCTGTTTGGGCTGACAGGTGGGTCCTCCTTCTGCGGTATAGTCTGAAAGCACATACTTTTTCTTTCCTTTTTCTTAGGGCAAGTACTATAATCATCTTATCACTAATTCCAAGATGCCATATAGACTCAAATGATGATGTGGAGGAGAGAAGAGAGAGAAGAGCAGCCACCCCTCATGCAAGGGGTAACCTCCATACAAGTTTCAAGAAATGGAAGAGAAAGAGAGAAGTGGATTGGTAGCAAATATATTGGGTGTAGTGTAAATAGATGCAATCTATTGTATTTATTACCTCTAAATTAATGTGTAGATGATTTAGATAAAATTATATGTGACCACCTCCTCTATTATAAAACTTGCCCTTATAGTACTTCTCTTCTCCTAAAATAAGTTCAGTTTTACCCTATTCATATTCAACGTTTAACCGTTCGTCTTATTTGAATTTTTTTTATGATTAGTATTTTTATTACTATTAGATGATAAAATATGAATAGTATTTTATGTGTGACTAAATATTTTTAATTTTTTCACAAATTTTTCAAATAAAACGGACGGTCAAACGTTGGGCATGGATATTCACAGTTGTACTTATTATGAGACGGAGGTAGTACTTGTATAGAGTATTGTATATATATATATATATATATGGCTTTTATCTTGCTAATGCATTTTTCGGATTTGACAAAAGTGACACTACACAGAGTTTCTGAAAAAGATGATGGATTAGTATCTTTGTTTTACTCAAGTACATCACGTCATCCGAGTATCTCACGGAAAATAGTACGGCCAAAAAAGTTATTTTTGAAGCCATCGTTTTAGCGCAACGGCGTATCTGCAAACGAAAAGTAATTTATAAATAAAATTTTTATATACGTGTTCTTAGCAATCTAAAAGTAAAGGCTGAAAAGTAAACTTCGATGAAAAAAAACTCAAAATTCAGCTTCAAATTTAAGGCTAAAAATTCAAATTTTGGCTGATAAACATCAGTATAATAAAAAAGATGAGGCCATTTGTTGTACCCTAGAGCATTTTGAGCAATAGCCATTATTTTAGAACACCCAAAAGTCAAATAGGGTTGTCCTTGTCCCCATTTTCTGATAACCAAGATTTCCTCCAACTCTAAAATCCTCATTTCTTACCCCCTATTTCCTTTTCTCTTCTATTCCACCACATAATTTATATTTACATCTAATTTGACATCATCATAATAACTAAAGCATAAATATTTCTAATGCATACGGTCCATCCATATTCAAGTTCACAATTTCAAACGCCACAAAATTCTAATTTAAATTTAGAACTTCCAAACATCAGAATGGCATATATATCCTCACAATTTGTGAACATAGTTATGTAAGAAGTAAATAATCCTTGTAGTAAGTGTTCACATCAAATAGTGAGATGTTTGCAATAGTTAATAAAATAGAAACCATATCTTACTATAAATAAAGTTATAATCCATTGGATCCTCATTTTGATGTTCTGTGTTGAATCTTTTTTTTTCTTAACTCTCAAAATCTTTTAAGGTGCTAGGGTTCTAAACCTCAAAATTGGATATTCCTCGAAAGAATGTCTAAAAACGAAAAATCGGTGCAAATTTCCCCCCACGGTCCCAAGATAATGCAACACTCCCACGGTCCCACGGTACAGAGTCATCCTAAAAAGGAAGAGTTATTGGAATGTTTGTCCTCCTTTGTTCCAAAAATTCCAACATAGAATTAGTATGGGACATAATCATCTTACTAAATTATGTCTCATCCTGATTTTAGGTTAGATATTTTTTTGAACTTAGGGCTTGTTTGGTTTAGGGCCATACCAAAACATTGGTAGTGACAAAACCTAGGCATGTTTTGAAACTACCAATAATTTGGTAGGGTAGAATTCTAAGTAATGTGTTTAGATTAATACCAATTGGAAGCCAAATTTTATATTATGGTGAAGAAAGTTCTAGAATTATACCAAATTAAGTATGGGCATTACCATTCATTTGGCTTCAAACTAAACCATCATATTTACTATTCAAACTAAAAAAATTGGCATGGCACATTTTGGCATCAATCCAAAATGGCCCTTATACTATCTATGAGTTGTGTGAAGTGGAGCGGACGGCACAGACACAGACAGGCTTCCGTAATATAACAGGGAAATTGACAAATTGTAGTGCCCGGATTTACACAAACACAACCAAAACACCCAATATATTCGGCCTTACTCAGGGGACAAATGGCAGTCTGGTCCTATTAATTAACCAGCAGCCAAACCCCTTTTGTCACATCAAAACTGGCACGTTGAAGCACTTTTCACACGCCTCGCCTTGTCTTTGCTTGCTGCTCGTGATCGTAGAAGTAGTACACACAACACCTGGGAGACGCAGAAGAGAGACGTGGCTGGCCGCTTTGCTTTTACTAGTCGTGTCGGACCAAACTAGTCAAGCCCCCATTTACAACATCCTCCAAAAAAAAATTTATTTGTGTGGATTATTTATCCAATATTTAGCTGTTTGTTTTATTTAAAATTTCTTATGATTAATATTTTAATTGTTATTAAATAATACTCTATATGTTACTTATTTTTTAAGATTTATATAATTTTTTTAAATAATTAAATATTGAACATAAAAATTTATAAATAATTTTTTTGGGGGACGAAGGTGTAATAATATAGGTTTACCGCTCTGATTCTGCCAGGCCTTCTAGAGGGTCGGCACGTGAGGGGTTGACGTACATCGCCTAAGTAACTGATTAGGCGTGGCTAATTACGTACTCGATCGAGTTGGAACGGCACAGCGAGCGTTGAGCCTTGGCATGCCACCATGCTGTCTTGTCCATGGAGATTCGGTTTCACGTGTTCTCATGGCATCATCGGAAGCTTCCGTGTCATACGTAAGAGTACTTCACTGTTTTGTTCTCCTGTGACCATTTCCTTGAGTTGTTTATTTGGTCCACGTTCAAATAGAGAGATCTATGGCGGTTTGCAGTGATTAAGTTTTGTTTGCCAAAATAAAGATCAAACACTGGTTGATTTTTTATTATCTATTTGATTTAGTTAATATACATTTTCTCCGGTTTCATATTTCTTAATGTTTTGGACAATAACATTATCTCCAAGATATATTTTAATCATGTTTTTCTATTATAATATGTGCAATAAGTAAATATATTTTTACTTTTACTATAGTATTTTATAAGATAAAGTTCTAGTACTGCCTTTAATCAAAACATTTTTAAAGTTATTGCCATTCAAAATTATAAAAGTTTGAACTTAATCTTGTCCAAAATGTAAAGAATTAATATTGTCCAACCTTATCTTAGATTCTTGGATAGTTTTAATAAATTATAAATTGGAGAGTTGTTTCATGTGGTCAAGTTAATTACCTTGCTAAAACTCAACAGGGCATGTGTATCACTGTATCAAAGGATATCATAGTATAATACAGAGCACAATGTACATGCTTCTATTAAATATACGTGTAAGTACAAATAGTATCCGACTATGACCTTTACGTACCATGCATGCATGAAAAGCATGTGTTTTTTTTCTCTTTGAGATGATTCAAATCATATTTATGAAGTAATAATTTGATATACAATCTTGCATTTTAAACAAGATTCCCCGCGAGATCGAATGTGCGAATGAAGCAGGCTTTTTAGACATTTTCTTGGTTTATTGACACATTTTTCTAAACTTTGTTGAAATTTTAAAATTTTTTGCTAATGTCTTGTTTTGCTTACTCAATTTGTGACATGTCACTCTAGAATGTACATTAAAGGCAAGTGTGCTTATGACATATACGCCCATGTGGGTAGGTCCCATATATCAAGTGTGCTTTATTATGTTTGAAGGATTCCTAAAGGTATTCTCAATTCCTTTGGAATAAACACTATTTATGCATTCGGTCCATAGGATTTAAAGGAAATTTTACATAGAAACACTATGTCAATCCTCCATAAATCCTTCAAAATGTATTCATTCCATAGGAATAAAAACATCCACTCCATCCTCTTTTATTCAGCTCATCGAAGAAAAGATTCATATTACAATTCTTTGTTTTGCACGTGTATTCATATATTATTCTCGTGTATTTCCTATTCATGTAATTTAGAAAACCTATGAACCTGAGAGACCCTAAACCTTTTTTCTCGCTGCATTTTTCCAACTTCCAAGGCATAGCTAGAAATTCGATGACCATGTCTTAGGCTAAGTTCGGTTGTGAGTTTGAAGTGGGATTTTTCGTTGCATATAAAATGAGACAAGTTATTAGTACATAATTAATTGAGTATTAATTATTACAAACTTAAAAATTAAGTTAATTTTTTAAAACCAAACTTTTATATAAGTTTTTTTAAAAAAATGTATATATTGTTTACTTCCTATGTTTCACAATATAAGTCAATCTAGCATTTCTCACATTCATATTGATGTTAATGATATATATATATATATATATATATATATA